AAGTCCTTTGACCTCAATGAAAATGAAAGTGAAGCATTCCAAAATTTATGATACAAAGATACCTATTTTAGAAAAGGAAATAAAGGTCTCGTACAGTGTCCACCATAAGAAACTAGGAAAAGGAGAGCAAATGAATCCCAAAGTAAGGGGATGGGAAATAAAAAAGATGAAAGGAGAAATGAACAAAATAGAGAACAGAAAGCATAGAGAAGATCAATGAGGTCAATAATATTGGTAAAGATTTAGCCAGATTGATCAGAAAAACAGATACCAGTTATCAGTATCAGGATATCACTACAGATTCTACAGCTGTTAAAAACATAATTAGTGTGTATTATGAATACCTTTATGTCAGCAAATTCAACAACTTAGAGAAATGGAAAAATTCCTTGAAAGGCGAAAACCACTGAAACATTCTCAGGCATTATGGTAATGTTTCAAACATTCTCACAAGCAAAACTCTAGGCTAAGAAGACTTCATTGGTAGTCCTCCCAAGTATTTAAGGAAGAAATAATGCCATTTCTACACAGACTTTTTAAGAAAATTGAAAATGAGATAATACTTCCCAACTCTGAGGCCAGCATTACCCTGATACCAAACCAAAACCAGATAGACATATGTGAAAACTATAGGTGAATATTGTTCGTGAACATAGATGTATAAATTTTAAACATAATTTTAGCAAATCAAATATAACAATATATAAAAAGGACAATATATCATGACTTTTGACAAAAGCAGTGGATTTAATTTACCATATGCACATACTAAACCAGGAAATTCATATGGTCACCACAATATATGCAGAAAGAGCATATGACAAAATTCAGTGTCCATTCCTGATAAAATCTCTCAACAAAGTAGGCATGAAAGGGAATTCCCTCATCTTAATAAAGAGCCTCTGAAAACCCTACAGGTAACATCATACTTAATAGTAAATGTTTTTTACCTGAGCTTCCCCTCTTACCACTTCTGTCCTGGTGGTTTTTAAAGAATAAATGAGATTGCAAAGGAAAGAGTAAAACTCTCTAATAACAGATGACATGACTATTGAAATTCTTTTTTTTTTCTTTTTTTTCCATTTATTTTTATTAGTTGGAGGCTAATTACTTTACATGTATTGAAATTCTGATGGAAATTATTCTAAGAAAGCTATTAGAACTAATCAGTGAATTTTGCAAGGTTGCAGGGATATAGGATCAGTGTATCAAACACCATTGCATTTCACTAGCAATGAATAATTGGAAATCAGTTTAAAAACCAATGCCATTTATATACAGTAGAATAGAAAATGTGAAGTGGTTAGGGATGTGTGAGGCCTGAATACTGTAAACTCATCATCACTGCTGAGGAGAGTTAAAGCGTGCTGAGATACATGGAGAGGTGTGCGGCTGTGCTCATGGCTCAGAAGGCAGCCGTGGTAAGGAAGCCCATTAATACGCCAGTTCTCCCCACACTGATCCGTAGATTCAACACCATCTTAAAACACCAGCATGGTTTTTTTGGGGTGGGGGGTGGGGGTAGAAATTGAAAAACTGACCTAAGACTTAGATGGGAATTTAAAGGACTTAGACTAGCCAAAACACCTTTGAAAGAGAACAAAATTGGAGGACTGACTGCGGGACTCAAAGTTTATTTTAAGGCCGTAGTAACCGACATTGCTGTTTGCATCAACACAGAGATGGACAGATAGGCTAACTAAATGGAGTACAGAGTCCAGGAATCCGTCCAAACATATTGTACATTTGTTTGCAACAAAGATGCAAAGGAGGTTTGGTGGGAGAGGCTGTTTTCAGTATATGGCGCTGGAGCAGTTGGGCAGTCATAGGCTTAAAATGAGCTTCAGTCCATGTCTGGCACCACGTGTAGAGAGTGATTCAAAAGAACCAGAGACTAACCCTTGGAGAAGGACGTATAGGAGCAAGTCTTTGCCATTGGACTAGACTGTAATTTCTTGGGCAAGATAGCTAAAGCATGATCCGTAAAGAAAACATTGATAAATTGCACTTTGTCAACATTAGGAAATCTTGTTTTTTGAAAGACAGTGTTAAGAAGGTGAAAAGATAATTCACAGAGTGGGAGAAAGTATCTGGAATCATATGCCTAATAAAAGACTTGTAATCAGAGTATATAAAGAACTGCCAAACTCAGTAAGTACAACCCAATGAAACAGTGGGAAACAAATTTGAAGAGACATATAGCAAAGAAGTTGTAAATGGATGGCAGATAAGTTCATGAAAAGATCTGACATTATTATCCATGGGGGCAATGCAAACTAAAGCAGTGATGAGATACCAGTGTGCACCTGTGAGAGCAACTGAAACTGAAAAGACCATTTTTTTGTCAAAATGTGGATGAGACGTCAACTCTGCTGGTGGATATGTGAAATTGTATACCCACTTTGGAAAACATTTTGGCAGTTTCTTTAAATGTTAAGAAACACACCTACTTTATGACCCAGACATTGCATGCTCACATATTTACCCAAAAGATATGAAAGCTTGTGTCTGTATGAAGACTTGTACTTGAGTGTATAAAACTCATTTATGTATAAAGCTGTGTTGTATAAACTACAACTTTAGTTGTGAGACGCGACTAAACACTAGTTGTGTAAAACACAACTTTAGTTGTGAGAACCACAGCTCAGATAGTTTGCAGGGACATGGTTGAAGTGTGGTTAACTGAATCCAATCTGATACAAAGGGTCAGGCTACCGATGCGCCACAGCATTGAAAAAAATCTCAACAGAATTGTGCCAGGTGACAAAAGCCAGACAAAAACAAGAGCATATACTACATTTACCATGTATAGAAAATTTAAGTTTTTTATAAAAAATATAGTTTTTTATAAAGTGTAGAATCTGACTCTTGGAGTATGGAGTAGGGTAGAGAGTGCAGGAGGCAGTGATTATAAAATGGTAAGGAAACTTGGGAGTGACAGTTGCATTTGTTTTCTTGGTTACAGTGACATAACTGTCAAATTTTATGACATTGTACACTTTATGTCAATAAAGTCATAAATTGTCAATAAATTGTACACACTATGTCAATAATAACTCAGCAAATTTGCTATAGATTAACATTTTTGCTTTTTATATATGTCGTGCTTTTTTACCAAGTGAACACGGGTGCTCCGAGAGTCTGGTAGCTTGGTAAGGGAGCTAATTAGCACCGTGTGTTAGTAGCCTCTGGGGATGTGATGGTTATTAAAAGCAAAAAGTCATTAAGTGCTTATTTTGTGACAGACGTGCTTGTTGTCCATGCGTTATTTCCTTGAATTCTCAGTATCACCTATAGACATGATCCTCAGCCTCGTGTAGATGACGAACCTGTGACTTAGAAGGGCTGTCACATGAAAGTGCAGGGGCTCGAACCCAGGTCTGTCTGGAAGTCTTGTGTGTCCATTTGGTCACCAACCTATGTGTCTTTCCTGGTTATTAACACAATGCAGTTGGCTGTAACTATAACCCCTCTGATTGAAGAAGAAGATAAATATTTTTAGCATCCTTATTTTTTTTTTAAGACTGAAAAGTGTTTAAGTATTTTAGAACAATTTTTATTTTTAAAAGTACAAATTAAAGTTTTTCCCTCTGAAAGATATGAGACATTGTTTTTGAAGACACTTTGTAAAACATTCTGTTTCCTGCTAAAATAAATATATACTGTAGAATTATTTAACCTATTTAAATTTTTTAATAAGAAACTGCAAATTGATTTTTAATTATATCACCGTGTTTACTAAAGGAAGTACATCTCTCTAGGTAACGTGTACAAGTGCTGCAGTCGTTCTTTTTGTTTCTATTCCATGCTATTCCGAGAGGATTTAGGGCTGTTAGGAAATGTGCGCATGGATCTGTCACCAGGGCGGTTGGGAGCTGGCTGCTCTGGTTCCCTGAGAGCTCAGTGTGTGCCCTCCATTGTCTGAGACGGGAGGTCCCCGAGGGCAGAGGTGCGTGTCTCCTTCACCGCCACACCTCCAGTGCCTGAAACAGTGCCATATAAGTAAGGGACTCGAAAGGACATCAGCTGCCCGTTTTCAAAAGCATTGGATTTTAAATGTATGTAGTGTGTTGAATTTATGCTTAGCATAATTTTTATCTTTGTATAAATTTTAATGAAGATTATAGCCATCAGTTTTAAAGTTGAGTGTGTTACTATAAAAAGTGAGCTGCTGGTCCAAATATCCCAACGAGATACCTAAAGTTCTGTATTTTTAAAAATCAAGTCTTACTATCATCTCAGTTGCTTTTTATTGTGATTTTATGAGTGTAGAATGTGCCAGAAAGGGAAAAGGTGATGTGAACTCGCTTGCCTCTCAAGTTTTCTTTCCCAGTTGGAGTTGGTTACTGAACTTCTGTGATGCGGTCGTTTTTAAAAATCCTAGGAATTAGTGTAGCTCCTTGCAGGCTCTGCAGGCTGGGCGGGTTTTATATAACCAGCCTCTGTCATGTTGGGGGATTGCTGTGAAGACTAAATGAGTTTGTATAATATCTGTAAATCATTTAGAACAGTGCTTGGCACATGAGGACTCAGTAAATAAATGCTAATTATTACTTTTAGGGTTTTATGAGGCTTAAATTAAACAAGATAATACATGTAAAATGGTTAGTAGAGTATCTGGCATTTATTAAGTGCTCAATAAATGCTGCTGGCTCTAATTTAAATATTCAGGTGCCAATATGTCTGAAGAGGCTGTGTCTTTGGATTGCTGCATATGTCATATGTTTAGTGAATTTAGAGCATGAGGAAAAATCAGTAGTTTCTATATTGACTTTTCCCAATAGTACAGGCTGCAGAGTTGTAAAAATTTTACAGAAATGTGTAATTATTATTCTGATTTCTAAGTTTAGGTCCTTTGTTAGGCCTCTCTATTAAGTTTATGTTTAGCTTTTACTATTAAAAGTACAGAGCTTTGACTGATAGCACAATTTAGCACAACAGTTTTCTTTGACAAGGTTGTCAATGTCTAACTCATCTTTCCTTTATTGTTATCTTCATAGGTTTGTGGAACCTTGCTTCTCTCTTTTCCAATCTTTGTCTATTTGTGTTGATGCCCTTTGCCTTTTTCTTTTTGGAATCAGAAGGTTTTGCTGGTCTAAAAAAGGTAAGTAAATGATGTTTTAGAATTAAATTTCTTAAATGAAGAAGTAAATGTCATTCATTGTTGAAATAGTAGGCTTAAGCAACTTTTACTGAAATGTGAAACATTTAATAATAGCAATGCCTTGTTAATAATGCTTTTACAATAATGTTAATAATATTACACATTGAGTTAATAAAAGTGTCCACAGGAAGGAAGTCATCGTTTGACCTTTGAATGCTTTTGATAGTATGTGCAGAGTGGGTGGAGTGTTCTTTTGTAGAATGAATAAGCCTGATACAACAGCTATGGTTCTTTCCCTAGATACTGTCATTTAGTGTAAAGCGTGACATGAAGCTGTATCTTGATGTAGAAGTGGTTTCACACCCAGTGTTTGCAGGAGGGCAGCATGTTACCAGGCTGCCCTGGATTGTCAGGTTCCCAGTATCCGTGACTTACTGCGAGATGAGTGTGGGAGGCTGAAAAGTGGGCAGAGAGCAGACTGCCAGAGCATCTTAGACAGCTAATCCAGACCTGTAAGAGGAGTCACTCCCTCTGTCCTTGAATAGTAGGACGTTTTAAAGTGAAGGGAACAACATCTCCATTTATAGCTTGTGGAGTTCTTTGCTGTAAAAGCTTGGAATATAATGGAAGGATTTCGGTAGTTAATACTTTTTGAGTGACTTTTAAAACTTGATGAAATGAGGTCTAGCGTTATAGTTTATAGACATATTACAGCTTTTTAACTTTTAGTTAGAGTTATTCGTATTCATACTGTGGTATATGGTTGGTTTCATATTTGGTAAATCTACTGAGATCAGAGTGGGTGGTTGTGTATGGTGGTCAAACCTGCATTAAGAACACTGGCTTTTATATATTTGATTTGTTTTTTATAATGATATATGTAAATTATTTAAGTCATCCATGTAATGGGAACAACTTGTAGTTTCAGTTTAAACAAATAAAAAACATAACAATTAAAAAATAAAAAAAATAAGTTTCTTGAAGAATTATAGAAAGTTTTGCTGTTGAAAGGGATTTACTTCAAACTCTTTTTATATCAAATGGTATTAATGTTACTAAATTGTCTAAGAACCTCATATCTACTACTGCAGAACTCAAACTAAGACCCAGGGCGTGCTTCTTACCTTCCCAGAGTGTGCAGTTCTTCCCAGGTCAGCACCGTGGGGAGCACAGGAACAGCTAGCAGGGTGCCTACTGGGCGGTGGCCGGCCAGGGGCCCAGGGGCAGAGGCGTGCTGCAAGGCGGCAGGGGTGCTCTGCAGGGGTGTGGCAGGTAGAAGTGGACAGAGCGGATGTGGTCTGGAGACCGAAAGACAGAGCTCTCAGAGGCTGGAACGTAGAACAGAACATCACAGGGGACGCAGGGAAAGAACGTGGTCACGGAGAGGAAAGAGGTCATCGGAGACACCTGAGGAAGCAAGCTGTGTGGAATGTGGGGGCCCTTTGATGGGCGGTCGTTCACTTGGCAGAGTCTTACTAGGCCCTCACTGAGCAGTGATTCCTGTGCTGTTAAGAGGGGCTTGCTGGGTACAGGAAGGAAAAGACAGCGATCTCGCCGTCAAGGGGCTTACACAGGGAGAAGTCAGAGGTGCTGGAGGAGCTTTTACATGGCAGGCTGCTCGGGGAGGGGTGTCTCGGTTTGCCCAGAGAGTCGGGAAGACTTCAGGGAGGAGCTGTCCTGCCCTTGAGCTGAGAATTGCAGGTGAGCATCCAGGCTTGAGCAAAGGCAGAGACACTGTCTGAACTGAAGTAGTGGCCGATGCTTAGCTCAGAGTGGAGAACGGAGACAGAGCACTGGTCAGGATCAGACCCTGAGGCCCGAGTCCTCTGCCACATAGTCTGGGTTTTATGCTATAGACACCAGGGAGTTGGCACAGGATTGCTGATGAGACTTCTGCATCTACTGTTCTGCTTAAGCATGTTTAGAGATAAATGCGTGCATCAGAATGTCAGCATACATCCCTGGGGAAGGAGTGTATGCAGTGCACATGCAGAGTGCTCTGGTGGGGACGTCACCGCCCCGAATCAGTCATGCCCCTGACTCTCAAACAGAGTCACTGAAACGGCCTTGTCAATGCTTGCTTCAAACACGCAGAGTTCCCCACCCCCGCTCCCTGTCTGTCTCATGAATAATCTTATCAAGTGCAGAAACTACGTAAAGCTCAGTGTTATAAATGTATTTTCATATTTGGAGATTAAGGGTATGCTCCCTAGGTTATGCTTTATGTAAAAATCTGGTTATTAGTTAAATAGATTATTTTAAAAGCAGTGTGCAATATGGACAAACCTCTTGCATCCAGATCATTTTCCTCCCTTCTTGTGAACTAACCAACTGGAAAAGGGACTTGGCTAAATCTGTCGGAGCAGAGTTAGCACCATCTCTAGAATTAAAAACAGTTGACGCAAAAACCCAGTGAGGAGTTACTATTCTCCTGTTCCCCCTTGTCCACCGAGGTCAGAGGGGAGACAGCTTGAGGAGAGGTATCAGAAGGTAAGTAAAGATATTTTGCATCTACAATTACACAGCAGTTCTTCCTTCCAGTTTTTTTACTTCTAGTCTCTTTGTTCATGATTAAAAGAATGCCTTTTTTGAGTGCATTTCTGAGTATGTCTCCTCAGAGTCTCTCCAGCCACCAGCTACATTTCATGGTCTCTGAAGGGACTAATGTGCCCAGTGATTGTAGGATGCAGTGGGCGTGACCCATCCAGTTAATTCCCAGACACAGCCAAGGATTAAAAGGGGCGGGGGGAACAGAGCTCAGGATGGTTCCCATTTATGAGACTCTGGTAGCTGGGGGATGAATGGGAGTTGTAGAAACCAAATTAAAGTGTGTGGTCTTTAATAAATGCTGCTGAAGGAAGGAGGAAGGTGGGGTTCTGGCTTGGAGGAGAAGTGGTAGGATAATTCTCCTCTTAGTGTGCTGGCGGTGGGGGTGTGGAAGAGAGATTGCAGGACTGTGGTGGGAGAGTCTGTCTTTAGTGTCAGGCTGCCTGGGCTGGTTACATCATCTACACCTCAGGTTTTCTTTCTGTAGAGTGGGTCTAGTAATGATAGTTACCTCACTGTTCCATTTGGAAGACTGAGTGAGAAGTGATTGTCCACGTGAAACACATAACCCAGGATTGAACTCAGTAAATATTAGGGATTATTGTCACTATCTTAGAGCTTCGTGCATTTAACTGTTAAATATTCTAGAAAACATCAGTGTTACTTGCATAGATCATTAGGAAGCAATGAAATACAGCAGTCAGCTCTTAATTATCCACATGTTATTAGGCCATTTTATGATTCCACATTATTTTTGCCATTTTGAAATGGCATGTACTGAAGCAGAATCAAAACTGCCTAAGAGAAGGTACAGCTACAAGGAACTATACTCAATATTCTGTGATAAACCTAATGAGAGGAATTTGAAAAAGAATATATATATGTATAACTGAGTCACTTTGCTCTACAGCAGAAATTAATACAACAGTGTAAATCAAATATATTTCAGTAAAATTTAAAAACAATGTGCATCTATACCTTATTAGAAATGTTTAGAGAGCTTTAAAGTCTGAGTAATCATGGAATGTTATTCACAATATTTACCTTTTCCAGTTACATGGAAGTTTCAGGGGTCTATTATCTGTTTCGGTCTAAATGTGTTAGGTATGTTTGTGCTTGCAGTATTGTGCCATCCTGTTATATATGACCATTTGTATTTACTGCACAGATTCTGAACAATGTTTGGTAAGATCTCCAGTGCTGTCCACAGGTGGTATTACCATAGGTTGTACCACCGTGAGGAACTCCACTGCTCTGATGAAGGGGGTGGGTTGCTGACATTTGACATGGATCCCTTTAAAGCGCTTTGTTCATTGGTTGCATTTGACACATCTACTTCCAGGGCGACCTTGAGGAGAGCTTTAGAAAGCACCGTAATTGGTAGATTCAGCACAATAATTGGAGTAGTGACAGACTTGTAATATGGTTAAGTGAAGTTTACCTTTTTCCCTGCAGCCTCCCTCCTGGTGCTGTTTTACTGCGTCGGAGTCTGGTGGAGCCTTGAATGGCACATGGCCCCGCCAAACTCCCATTGATTCCCCTGGGCAGTCGATTTTAAAGCGGCCCCTTGCATATCGTGCCGAGATGCGGAAATTGGCCACTAGCCACGGCGGATGCAGAGCTCGAATTGAGAATCAAATTAAGCAGAATTCTCTACTTAGTTTTTAATTAAACCACTATGTTAATTCAAACAGGACATTTTAGGCCTGGGGGGTTGACCATGTCCTTTTAAGGGCCTTAAATCACCTTTCTTCTCTCTCCTGGCCTTGGCCTATGTTTCTTTTTTATTGGGCCCATCTCCTAGCTATTTCCCTTCTTTATAATTCTCAAGGGTAGGACAATATAAGTGGTTTTGATAAAGCAGGTTTTTTTGTTTTGTTTTTGTAAGAAGGTAACTTTTACCTTGGAATTCTGTTAGTAGTTAAATATTAATCTAATTGAGATTATTTTGCAGTCACCTGTCTGTACTGTAGTGAGCATTACCTGTGTTCATGTGTATTTAGATTATTTTTCAGTCACCTATCTGAACTGTAGTGAGCATTACCTGTGTTCATGTGTATTTGAACCTGCCCTGTGTGTGCTTGCATCTTATGTTTCAGCTCTGATGAAGAGGTTGTGTCTGGTGGGTTCTGTTTTTGTTTTATGGTAGAGATGTTTTCCCACAGTTTTTGTCTTGGTGGCTCAGTCATACACCAGAGTGTGAGGGTCTCGCGGCTGCCTGCACTCCTGTTCCTATCATACTCAGGTCACCTGTGTAACTCTCTCTCCCCACGCTGCCTCTGAGGGAACTCTGGATTATTTCAGATGATGTCAGAAGATGTTTTTCGATTCCATAGTCAACTGGTCTAATCTCTAGCCAGGGTTTAAATGGGAATTAGGAATATGCTTGTTTTTCTTATTGTATGTTAACATTTTACTTTGAATTAAAATGTCATAAGGAAAATAAAGTGTCA